CACTGGATGCAGGAGGCTGCCAAAAATGGGGATACTGTCGCGCAGACCAAACTGGAGGAGCGCGAGGCCGGCCGTTCAATTCGATGAGGTGACACTGTTTTTATTATCACAACTTCTTTGGCCCGGCCTAAGCAGAAGGCTTAACGGGCTTTTTTTTACTGGGGTGGCTTGGATGTCTTTTGCTGCCAACATGGGGCTCTCTGGCGACATATGAATTGGTTTTATTGGAAGTTTTTCGGGCTGTTCAGGCATTTCCTTTTTTTTTATTTTATGGTTCGTGCATGGCCTTGTTTCTGTGAGTGTAGCAACTCAAGCGATACACGTGTACTTGTGCTACGGGTGGCAGACTGCTATTTGGCGAGTTTTAAATTCTGTTGGAGGATATGAACCGGTCGACATCAGCGCCCGGCAGGACCAGATCAACACTCTCAGGCGGTCAGGGAGGTCTTTGAAGCTTTACATCTCGCTCTTGCGTTGAATGGATGGACAGACGATGGGCAATGCGGTTGCCATGTGTGAGCTAGTTACTGGTGAAAATGCACGAACAGAACTGTGCAGTTGGGTAGAAATTTTTTGGGTCCGTTGTCCAACTCTTGTTTTTCGCCCGATAGAGGCATTGCAGTAGCCGTGAGCCGTGGATTCCATGTACCTCCGTACCGAGTGGGGCAATGATGAACTAGGTCAAAGGGTCGACATATCCTGGGACGCCCTGAAAGTTCACTACGCCCACAATTTGCCTTGGCCAGTCAGAGATGCTGCTCGGGCGACTTTAGTGATGAAGTCAGGCGATCAGGGAGGACGCATTGTCCTCGTGGACGAATCATGAGGGCGCGAGGGGAAGGACAGAGATTTCAGCAGCTCTAGGAATTCAGGCACATGCATCGGGGAGAGAGGATTTGCGGTTGCACAGCAGGAAGGAAATGCAGCTCAGCCTAAAGAGAGTAGGCAAAGGCAACGGAGAAACGACGGGGAGAGATCCAGACCTTGGCCTCTTATTGAAGACATGCCAGTTCATCGCTGACACCCTAGAGACCGTCCAGAGCATTCCGCAAGCTGACCGGGGACACCGCATGAAGGGAGAGCGGAAAGGAACAGCTGTACGCCCCGAGGCGATGGAGTGAGGTGCGCAAACACCAAGTCATGAGTACAGTAGCTTAGCGCGAGTTCGTGCCTTTGACTGGAGGAGTTCTTTCATTTCATGCGGCTAAAGGGCAACCTTGACCCTGATGATGACCACGAGTCGCCGCAGGGAGCAAGACACGAGATAAGCCAATGCAAGAGACTTGCAAAAAAGAAAGAGCCCGGGGAATCAAGGCGACAGAATTTTTTCTCTTCGCCCCAATTGCAGGCCACGGTAGGAAGACGTCGTGTACGGAAAACGCAGCTTCTGTCATTCTCATTGGAATGGATCAACGGAGGATTTCTGTATGAGGGAGGGGGGGGTAAAAAAGGCCGAGCGCGTGAGGAGATACCGAGTCGTATGGAGAGAAAGTTGAGATGAAGCAGTAGCTGAATGTCTGAATGATGCATGATGATTCAGTGGTGGTAGTAGTGGTTGAAGTAGTGAGCGCAGCCGAACACACACAACCATGGGGGGTGACGGGGCTTGGTGCCTGTGACGTCGGATGCCAAGATCCCAAGCCTCGGAATTCCCGTTTGTAATGACGGTAGGCTATCCGGCTCACTGGGACAACTGCTCGTGCTGTTCCAGCAAAGTCTAGCTGCCGCCACCCAAAGCCTCCCGTTGCCCCCCACCAAAAACACTCCGTCATTTGATCCACTCTTAATTCTACGTAACTGCCACTCCAGTCCCTCGACTCTCCATCTGCTGCCCGTCACACATCACGCACCCCTCCCTGCACATGCTCTCTTTTCACTCAACTGACTTACAACCAAGCAACTGGGACAAATATCCAAGAATTCCCTCGTCGACCATCCAGAGGATGATCATCGCCTCATCGTCCTAATCACCACCTTTCCATATCACCGTGCAACTGATATCCGGCCTGCGTGTCTTTCTCCAACTACTTCTACTTGGTTGTATCCACAGGCCTCAATCTCCAGTTTTGATTCTCCACTGCAACCACCATAACCCATTGTCCGATCCCAGAGATACACAACTCTTGTCTCTCCTTTCGGTCCATATCCTTCCTCTCACACAAATCCTGGCCGGTCACTCTCCTGACCAAGATCCGCCTGACTCTCCGCCTCCAACTCCGATCGTCAAACGAGTCCTCTTTCGGTTCTATTCCACATCCCTCCGCAGAATTCAAACTTGGCCGTTTTACAATCACAGCCTCTCATCCCTTGAATACGGACGACGCGGAATTTCACGTCTGCAACTTCATCATCCCGACGCTGAAACTTTAAGTACAATCTCGCTCACCATGACAGTCGAAGTCCGTCACTCCCCACCTCCCTTGCACCAGCCGGGTTCCGGTAATATTAGGCCGAAGGGTGAGTTATCAGCGTCTTCTGCTCGGGGAATCCTCATCACTAACCCCATAATGCAGGAATATTGAAGAATCCATCCTTTTCATCTTCCAGCGGCCATCCGGGCTCGCCCTCAAAAGAGGAATTCCACCTACCTCCGCATATGCCCCTCGACCCAAAGGAAGAGAGAGAACTTGTACTTCAGAACACCCTTCAAAATGCCGGTCCTCGCCGCTCGTCGTCCGCCGCCAGACGGGCATCCGCATCGCGCCGTCACTCGGCCGCGTTGGCCGCAAACCATGAAGACGACCCGGAAAAGATGCGTCTGAAGTGGGACGAAGCGAACCTCTATCTGGCTGAGCAGGAATCAGGCGGACGCATGAAGATCACCGAACCAAAGACACCCTATCAATATGGAGACGCCATGATGGAAGACGATGACGAGGAAGATGTGGCTATCGACCCTCGCTTTGTCAACGTCGATGAAGTCGAAATGGCAAAGGCTCCGAAGCCGAACAAAAAACATCGAGAAAGCGAGATCCCTGGTCTGGAGCTCGGCGAGCCTGAAGAGGAGCTGTCTCCGCGATCCACAGCAGCGCTAGAGGAAGAAAGAATTGTCAGGGGTTCGAACAATCTTTCGAGGGAATCAAGTAAAGAAAAGCATGTTAGTGTCAGTGATGGGAGTGATGCAGATGGGCTGCAGGAACAAGTTGGCATGCCCACTCGTGAGGAGCAGGAGAAACACCGCCAATTTGAGGAGAGGAGGAAGAAGCATTATGAGATGAAGGACATCAAGAATCTACTTGGGTAAGTTGGTGACTTCCTGGATCTCTTTTATTCTTCTAGACTGGTGTTGCTAATAATGTCATACAGACACCCCGAGGAGTTGGATATGGAAGATGAGGAACCGCCCGTTCCAGCTGCGATGCCAAAAGATCTACCAGAGCGATCGGTTAATGGCACCCGCTAGAGTGTCCTTGCGCTATGCCTGGTGCACCTTTTCAGCCCTTTTTGAAAACGGTGTCTTCGCCATCATTCCAATCGATCCTTCAGGCATGAAAAGACCTTTATACTCGGACGGATTTCACTAAACCGGATCAAAAGACAAAAGACGCATGGAAAGGGGCACTCGGCACTAGCACTGACACCAGCCAGACAGCATGCGAGTGCGCAGAGGGCTGGGTGGGTAGAGAAGAAAGGAGCATTTTCTCATATGATCTCCGCCAGGTCTCAATACTTGCTAATGTGTTGAGCGCCGGATGGAGGTCTCATTTCTTTTTGGAGTTGTATCGTTCACAAATACGCCAGCATCCATCCTCTGACCGAACCACCATGACGGTTGTCGGTACAAACGCTCAACATTCGTCTGCGAAGTTAAACCGCGGGTTTGCCTCTACTTGGGATGCCAGACTTCGTTTTGATCAGCATTATTCCACGCCACTATATGCCCTTGATTCCTGCGATTGGCCTTGCTGTGGACGGCCAACTGATTTTCCAGCCTCGACCTTTTGCATTTTGCTTTTGTCTTCTCCTAACCTGCGGAAACACTCGACTTCAATCCACGTTCACCAATGTTTCATGATCTATCTCTCCGTTTTTCGGTCATTCGCCGCATTTCTGTTTGTCACACGAGAGAGACCAGCAGACAACCGGGAGAAGGTGGGATGATCGCTGAGTGTTCAAAATGAAAATAGTCAATTTCAAGGGCCGCAAAAAGGGATGGCGTGCCAGCCAGGGAGCTCTGATTGCATTGAACTACTGTTGTTCTGTCCGAATGGCACGTCCATGTTCACACTCATCTCATTCACCAACCAAGAAACGGCTCAAGCAAAAGGGGAAAGGCAGTTCGATTTATATGGCGGACACGAGGGTTGAAGGGTGCAACCAACAAAAAACAATACACCCATACACACAAAATTCAGTAGCATAGCTCTCTCTGCTCGGGTACTTGGTGCTTGCGGCCTCACTGTCGCACACCACCAGGCAAATGCAATGGAGATTATCATCATCGTCGTCGTCGCCGCCGTCGTCTTCGTCCTTGTAATTGCCATTTTCCATTTTCCATTTTCCACATACCTCTTTTACAGATCGGTGTGTATACAAGCAGAGATAGATGTCTCTACTCGGTACAGGCAGTGCGGTATTCACTGAGCAACGCCACGTCACATTCTTCCCCGGTTGAGAAGGGCGGCATGAGGCGTAAAGCCATCTCGGATTCAGTGACGTGTAGAGGAACCTGGCACATGTGTCTGTTTGGTTATTGGGGAATACTTTTTTTTCCCCTTGATATTATGTTCTAAAGTGCAGCTAAAATAGGTCTCGCCGTGGTGTACCCTGTTCTGTCCAAGCGGGATACCAAGCTGAACACTCACACTCACTGCACTGCATTGCACTGCCATGCACTGCCATGCACTGTTATGTACCATTCAACTGCCCTTCATATGGTCCTGGTGGTCCACTCTCTGAATCTCTTAAAAAAAGAACTTCCTAGATCAATGTGTAAATACACACGTGGATCCAAGAGGTGTGTGTGTGTGTATGCATGTGTATGTGTGTAACTGAAGCTCTTATCCAATTCGCAGCTTCCCCAAGATTAGACTCTGCACGATATCCTCGTTGCACATTACTTTGATCTTGACGTCGGAGTGGCTCGTTTCCGGGGTTGCATTTCCGTCGTCATCTTCCTGAGCACATTCATGTTGTCGCTTGCCTCGCTTGCGACCGCGCTGAGGTTGACTCGCCCTCTTGCTCGACGAAGGAGTCAGGAAGGCGACCTGCGCGGCTTCAACTTCTCGATCGTCCACGAAGATATATTTTGGTGTTTCGCACTCGTCCACAGCAGCTTCCAGTCTCATTTTCACGGCCGTCAGATCAGTCTCCAGCTCAACTTTGGCCGGATCCAGGGCGCGCACGAGTGAGAGGTATGGACGCCGCTTGACCTCAGCTTTACCCTTGCCCATCACGACAATGACTTGAGATTCCCTGAAGATTTTCGATCTTAGGCCGATGATATCTTTGACTCTTAAACCATCTGCGCTTGCTGAGAAAGGCAGAATGCGCGACTTTGTAGCGCCTTCGAGCTCAGCACTTTCTCCAGCGGGGAGAAGGTAGCTTGTCCAATCGACAACCTGGTCAGATTCGACGCAAACTTCGATCCACCTCCCACTGAGGCAAGGGAGCCCCAGAGCTAAAGCCTGAAGGTATTTTTCTTTTCGAGAATGGCGGTCAGTAAGAAGAGCAGCGAACGAAAAGCCAGAAAATTCGTCTTTCAATTGCATCGAGTCCGGTTCAAAGAGATCGAGGAAGGACTCCTGCAGGACGATGCCACCATGGGTTTGCACCAGATCCACGAGATATCCCCTCCTGCTGCTGTCTTCGTATGAAATCGCAAACGCCATCTTACTGAGTAGACCTTTCGTTGGCTCGGTGATTTGTGCAGCCAAAGATCCCGTTCCAGTTATGCCTCGACGAGTCCGCGATGAAGGCGTGCTGGGTGTAGAAGCTCGATCCAGGGGCGTGGAGATTCCGGATGAAAGCACTGCGTGGACCGAAGGCTTATACTCGTAAATCCGATCTTTCATCTGTCCCCACATGATGCTGTCCAGGTATACTGCCGAGACGGGTACCTTCTTCACACTCTCCGCTGATGCTTCTGTAAGCAACCTTTTCGCTTGCTTTGGAGCGACTAGGATCGTCTGGTAGCCACGGATATCGGTCACCACAGTCCCGTTGGTGGGACTGTTGCCTTGCACAATCTTGTCATCGAAACCTCGAATAATATGAGAAACCTTGGGAAAGCCTCGCATATCTATCTTGACCTGGTCACCAATACGCAGGTCCAAACTCCGCACCCCGGACTCATCGACTTCATCGGGTTCGTATCCTTCCCACTGAATCAGAAATCGGCTCGAGTCGGAGTTCGGACGCCCAAGACAAATGGCAGGGTGATAGGCACGGGTCTTGCCAATGAAACATGCAAATACCATATTTGGTGCAATGTTCCGTTCACTTGAATCATCTGCCGCCTCAACGTCGGCTGGTGGTGTCAGGGCAGCACTCAAATTTGCAGATCGATGCAAGCGGAGAGGATCGGGCATGTTTTGTTGACCTTCGATACGCTCGGGCAAGGGAGGATCCGGTGCAGGGCCCTTCACTACCTTCAGCTTCTTGTTTAATGTGCTGTGGCCCTCTTCTAGTGCACCGGCATTTCTTGCTTTCCTTTTCACACCTGTCGAAGACTTGATGAGAGGGACTGCCTTCTGTGGTGGCGAGTCCTGAAGGTCCCATGCCGATGCCCGAGCTGTCGAATTCATATTTCGAGGCCGTGTACTAGAAGCGCTCAATACCTTTGCCGTTGGCCTTCTTTCCCTCCGCGAGTACGTCGAGACAGGTGACACGGCTCGTACAAATTGTTCCGATCGGCCGTCTCCTGATTCTGGTTCTGGGTGGTCCACCTCATTCTGATCACTCGACGGGCTAGAAGCCTTATTTGTGTCGTTGGCTATGTTTCTCTGTTGTCTACCACTTGCTCGGCGGACAGGAGACAAAGCCGCACCCCTTGATTCTTTGAAGTTGGTCCTCTTTGGGGAAGGATTCTGGAAGTCCGCGTCCAGCTGCAGCGCCTCAATTGCGTTGAAGCTGACCTGGGACCTGAGAGGTGATGGTTCCGCAGCAATCTCTGCCATGCGCAACCGTCGCTTCCCAGGAGGCGTCGTCACAATAGGAGGACTACTCAATTCGGTTGCGGCAGGTTCAAAGGCTACGGTTGAGGTTTGCTTGTGAGTCGGTGCTGTGTCAAACGCGTCATTACTCTCAGTATCCCTGGACTGAGGTTTGGGCTCGGACTGTCTTTCGCTTTGAATCTGTTGCTCGTTGGAGCTAGTCTCGGGAACTGTGCTGGTTGCTGGTTGAAGTGTCCGCGGGTATGAGCTCAATCCAGCGTGGTCAACTACAATGGCGGATGGTTCCTCATCGGGCGACAGAGGATCATCTGCTACCGCGCTCGAGAGGTTCACAGGCAACGCCGAAGCCGTGTCCTTCTGATTTGTACTGAAAGGTCCTCCGGCTGATAGGGCAGGAGACTGTGGAACAAAATCAAGCACTCCGTCAGTAGCAGAAGATCTGGGAACTTGCGTAGTTGTCTGACGTTGCCTCATGGGTCGTTCAGGCTGCGAATCTGCCACCGCAAACAATTGTGAGCCGGTGAAAGCAATCGGGTGACTGTGAGTCTCGAGGCCATGTCTGAGCAAGGGGCTATCTTGTACGTGAGTAGGAATGTCACTCATAATGCGGTGAAGTCGAGCGGTTGTTTCAGGTATCTGGCTTGCTCTATCGGAGAAATTCTCCTTGTCTTCGTCATCGACCAGCTCTATCGGCTGGCTCGAGCGTGTCACGACAACGGAGGTATTGTCTTCCTGCTCCGTTTCTTCCTCACTCTCGTGGACTGAGATGTATCGATTGCGCTTGATTGGGCTCGAGTCGCTTTGATTTCTGGGTTGGTCCAGGGCCGGAGCCCTCGACGGGGGAGATCGTATCGGTCCAGGTATGGGAGACGACTTGGAGAGGGAGACACTTCGCATAGATTGCTTTGATATTGACGATAGCTGGGCCTGTATTTTTCGATCACGCTCACGCCGTCTCCGCTCTCTGTCCAGGAAACTATCCTCATCGTCTTCAAAACTATCACGATCGGAATCTTCGTCCTCGTTCAGCATTTCCAGTTGTCTTCGACGAGCCTGTTCTCGCATGGCCTGGGACTGCTGTATAGAGACATAGCGAGAAGCCGGTTCTGTCGAGGCTCGTTTAAAGTCGGACATGGGTCGCAAAGGTGATGAAGTCGCAGCGGTCATCGGACGGGGTTGGAGCTCGATGTTCGGCGAAGGACGGTCAGAGGGCAGATCTCCATTAGGGTTGCCGACGAAGGGCGAAGTGTTAGCCTGAGTTGCAGCAAATGCCTGGCTGAGGGCCATGACCTGAGCTTGAGCTTCGCCACCTCGCAACAATGGGTTGCGAGGCAACTCGGGGCTGTCAACGACATCTCCATTGTATCTTCTCTTTCTACCAACAGTGGCTGGCGTCTTGAACCGCTGGGATTCCGGAAACTGGGTAAGAGCGCGAGGGGACTTGGAAGGAGAGAAGTCTATTGGTGGGGAGCCTGAATTTTCGTCCTCTCCCTCGCTCCCTGGCTCCTTCTGCGATGCCAAACTTGAGATCAGATCAATGTGACCTTCATCGCCCTCATGCAGTGTTGCTCCAGTCTCTTCTTCAAAGCCTTGGTCCAGCTCAAGGCCGTACTCTGGGTCTTGCAGTTGTCTAGCGCTTCTGCTGCGATTGAGAAGAGGCTCATAGTCCGAAGGAGACAGTTCTTGAGTCGGAGCATCGCTCCCTTGACTGGTCATCTTCTGTGACGTGGCTTCTGCTTTGTTCGACACGGGCGCAGGCGGAAGGAATTGCAGTTGACTTTCGGCATTTGTGAGGATCAACTGAGACTCGGGGACAGTGCTGGGGAGTTGTGGCACAGAGGCTGATTCAGTATCGGGAAGGGTAAGTTGAACGACACTCTCTGCCGAGATCTGAACTGTTGTGTGCAGGGTGTGTTCTGAATCTGGCTGTTCCTGGCCCGACTATGACACGATTAGCGGCTTGCGGCTTGCGGCTTGCGACAGAGCCCAAGCGAACGCGTGGGCCGGGGTCAAAATTAGTTACCTCCAACGGCGCGAGAATGTCCGCTTTGAGATTTGCAAAGTCGATACTTAATAGACTATCTGTCGCCATATATGTGCATTAATTCACCATGCCATGAATCTGACCATGGACCCTGCATATGGACGTTTGGCGTCAACGAATTTAGACAAATGAACCACGGACTTTTTCGCGTCAAAGGGTTCATGCAGGTCCAAATCCGACGCGCGTGCCATTGACATTGCGGGGCAGACAAAGCGGAAGTGGACGGAACAATCGGTAACTCCGGCCGAAGCAACTCGGCAGATTATTGGACAGCCTTGTCTACCGCCAGCCTTGTTGGTGCCTGGCTCCCGCCTCCCCAAATGATCCTACAGCCTGACAGCCTCGACCTCTGGGTAATATGCCTGAGGGAGCTGTCCCGGACTTGGTTGTGCTTCATGATTCTGCATCAGAGGCTGCCCATATTCCTGCCTCGTATTCAATCTGACTGGTCCATGCGTTCGCGATCGCTTACGGAGGCAGAAAAACATTATGAGCGAGATGATGATGATAAGGCCGAACACTGCACCGACCACACCAGCCATAATCTCACCGACATGGTGTCCTAGTTCGTTGGAGCTCTGCGAAATGCGAGGAGGGGCATTGGTCATGGTGCTTATGGCTACCGGTTCGGTCTCGAAGGCCTCAGGCGACCATGTTGTCGTCACCCATGCTGGATGGCTCGCCACCCCCTTCGTCGTGGTGCCCTGCTCAACATTGTAACTCCCAAAGTAGGTTCCACAGGCAAAGCCAGTGTAGTCATAGGGAGCATATTTGAAGGTATTGCAGTACGTCGACGAGCCTTCCGTACTGGTAGTAGTTGTCAGCAGTCAGCTCGTCGGAGAGACCACTACTCCTATACATACCATTTCAGTATCATGTCATTGGACTGACAATTTTCGTCACAATAGCCGGCGGGTTGATCTGCATCGATGCAAGCTACCTTGTAATGGCATGAGTCCAAGACGACTTGTGATATCGACGTCGTCCGGTACGACGAACAACACCCGACTGCATTGAAGACGTAATTGGATGCGCAGTAGGCATTGCGGCAGCTGACAGGATAGGCTGTTCAGGTACGATTAGTGGCTTATTTCAGACACCATGCTCGCTGACAACACTCACAAGCGTTCGCGCTGATGTATCCACATACTGAGGTGAGGCTGCTTAAAGCCTGTACCTGTCGTTGTTGTAGACCATGTTCTCTCGACGGCGCTGCAGTCGTGGCTGGGCGTGGACTTCGAAGGTCCTCATACAGTCCGCGAACAGCAGTTTGAGTAGGCCACGGAGGCAGAAAAGGTGCTTCGAGAGCCATGTTTGAGGCAGCAAGGTGCCGACTTCAGCCTTACTGGCAGCCGTGGAATATTTATTGCGAATACACAGAGTCGGGGTGATGAAATAGAAACTGGGCGGCGCGATCCGCCTGATCTGAGACTGTGGATTACTCATTTCTCGTAGCTCCCACATTATTGCGGAAGAGGATGCCTTGGTCGCACAGAGGACAAGTTCGGCCGGTGTCGCTCTGTCGGGTCGAGACCAAGCCATTGATGCTCTAACCGAGGCATTGAATCCACTTTCAGCCTTGTGCAGTCGAAGCTGAAGCGCCTGTGGCCCAATCACCATCCAGATTTCTCCACTCGTGGGTCTCGATCTCTACGTTCGGTCAACGCCAAGATGCTGCCTGCGTCTTTTTTTGATGAACCAGCGCCTTGTCTTCCCGAATTCAGTCTCGCTTGCAGGGGGGCTGCCCCTCCTGTTGGCACGAGCGAGCCATGGCGAGGCGTTTTTGGGGGGTCGCAAACTGGTGAGGCTGTCAGGCAAAGCTTGAAACCTTGGGAATATCCCAGCAGCCTCACTCCAAGTCTACCCTTGTACCGAGTAGAAATCTCTGCTCAACTCGAAGGTGCTCCCTGCTCGTCGCCTTTCACTGATATTAAACGATCTACTACAATATGTACCGCAGGGTCAATCAGGCGACGGCGCCGACTAAATATACCCGGACAGCAGATCGCGAAACTGTACAGTCGCCGACGAACCAGCTTCCAAAGCACATGACAGGTCGACGGACGGACATATGGTTGAGCTTTTCCATTGTGACTTTGCCCATGCTTGCGTTCAGCGCGTTACTCCTGGGACTGGTCTACCACTATCGCGTCACTCACGAACCAGCCGCAACCTCCGGTCTGCATACGGATGATATCGTCGACGAACCCGGCATATACTATGTGGATCTGAGTGCCACCGTTTTGATCTTCATTGCATCCTGGTCAAGTACCTTGGGACCGCTCCTCGCAGGTTTCCTCATGACTCTGGGCTCGTACCCTCTCTCGAAGCAATACTGGCAGGATGTTCAACACCAGCAACCGGACCTGCCGACGCCGTTTCAATTTGCGCTGATCCTAAAGTTCTTCGCAAATAGTGGCTATGGGTCGTTGTACAGTTGGATCAAGTATCTCACTGGCTGGAAGAATCAAAGACAATTTCAATCAAGACTTTTAACAGGTAGCGCGTCTCTCATGGTGCTTGCTACATTCTTGGGGTATGGGCTGTCCCTTGCGTTCAGATATTGGATGGCGAGCTGACCGGCAGCAGCTTTTTGGTCTTTCTTGCAGACACTTGGCTCCATATCACGACGTCGACGGTCAACTTTGTCCAGATCAACCCGGTGGTCAGCGAGACAAACTACAACATGGCTCTGAAGCCAGCGTGTCTCCAGTCGGACAATTCTTTCTCAGCTGCATACGACGTCAGAGGAGCGTGCAACGTGAACCCCGCGGCGGCCCAGACCTTTCTCGTCGACCCCAATCAGAGTTTGAAGACGCTGAACAACATTTCCGACACGGTCGCCGTCTTCAACAACGGGCCCGACCCGACATACACATATCTCGGCGTTCCGCCGTCCGACAGCGTTGCCGGCCGGGACTACACGGCCACGACCTACGGAATGCGCACTGAATGCAAACCCGTCTCGAGCAAATGTAATCTGAATGCGCCGTACGGCGCATCCACCCCATTCATGTGCTCAGACGCTTTCGCGGGTGACCTACAAGGAACCACCAACGGATGGCGCTACGCGTATTTCACCAACTACACCATGAAATCCAACACGACCATATCAGGAGTGCAGAACCCTTACTATTACGGGCTGGCAGCCTTGGTCATGAACCCTGGCCAATCAGCCTATGATGACAACAACACGGAAATTCCCGAGCTCGTCACGCCGGTGCACGGGGGCATCGCCTTTGTGTTACTGTGTAGCATCACCGTCTACGACGTTGAATACGACTCCGTCAACGGAACGATCACGCGGTTCGTGACCACCCCGAGCAACAGCTCCGTTGCCAACGTCTGGCACGCTCCCATGGCCTACGTGAACGTGGCGCAGTCGAACCTGCAAACGGCGGCGTCAATCGCCGCTTCTACGGCAAAAGACGCCCAAGACCTGGCGGACCAAATGTCCCTCGCCTACAGCAAGGCTGCCCTGGCCGTCGGCGCACAGTCCGTGCAAAGGGCACCGGCCGTCGTAGCCCAAGAGCGAACGTCGTTCCTCGTGACACGCCTCCCCATGGCACCACTCTTCGGCCTGCTTTCTGCAAACCTCGCATTCGTGCTGTTGGGGCTGATCCTGACGGGCATCGCGCTGCGCACGTCGGGAGGCGAGGTCCGGGAAATCCAGGCTCGGCTGAGCATTGTCGGTCTCGTCGCGGATCGGTTCGAGGGCGGCAGAGCGAAAGACCCGGTGGAGGACACGGACGAGCTTTTCGAGGAGCACGATGGGACCACGGGCACCAGGGTGGGAATGGAGCGCACGGGAACGGGGGGATATGCGTACCGGCAGTGGTCGACGACAACGGGTTGATTGAAGGTTTGTCGCCTGTATATTGGGGCCGGACAGAGCCCACGGACACGAAATAAAAATACGATAGACTTTATAGCCTAACACCTCATCAAGGTGTAGAGGTTATTGAAACCGAAATCCTTCTCTTCGTGCCGCTTTCGCATTCGTACAGGATGGGTGATGCCTCAGCCTCGTCCCTCGATCCGGAAAGTGGGTCACGCGAGGCTGGGCGAGGTTTCCCTTTCCGTCGACCTTCGGCCTCGGGGTCCGCGGACACATCGCTTGGCTCATCGCCACCGGTTGATGCAGGAAAGCCTCCCTCTATAACTCTGTCACAAGGGATGCTCAATTTCTAGACTTGTGATCCCATCGCGGGCCATTCTTCTCATATCCGACCAACTCCGAATTTCGCTCGTATGGCTGAGGCGCACGAAGACACGAGTAGAGACCGAACTGATGTCATTCGAAGAGCTGTATGTTGCCCTCACAGGATTACTTTTTTGGTTTTTGCCCTTTACCCCGAATGAGAAAGCCACGTGCATATCTTTTCTCGTATATGCTACAGTATACTAACATTGCGATCGGCAGTGTGAGCAGTGTCGTGCCAGGAAGGTCGTACCACCACATATGCTTGGCTTTCATTGACTTGACTCTGACTCCAGCGTCTAGATACGATGTGACAAGGAAAGTCCATGTTCCAACTGCAGGATCGCAAACAGGGAATGTGTCTCGGCCGGTCTAGGGCAGAAACCCCGGCAGGCCAGGCAGAGGGTGTTGATCTCCCACCAATAGTATGGCGTGCCACCGTCGACCACTTGTTGGAAAAAACACATGGGCTGATGGCAAATGCAGTGAGCGGAAAATCGACCAGTTCGAGAATCGCCTGGGGGGGATCGAGGAGATGCTCCACAAGCTTACAACATCTCTCACTCGTGACGATGGCTCTGCTTCGGGATACATGAGCACACCCGCACGAACTTATACACCCCCCAGCATAACCGAGTCTGCACCTGCATACGCAGGAGGACCACCCCTTGAGGAGAATGACCAAACGTTTGAAGGCAGCTCTTCCATGATCGCCCACACAGCGTTTGCTAGCGAATTCGTCGAGAAGGCCGTGACGAATACCCCTCTCGGCCGTCATCTGAGTCCGAATATCGAGTCCGCACTGGAGTCTTTACGAAGGATGGTTCAGATGCAGCGGCGGAAAGATGTTTCGCACGAGAGTTCGTTTACCCACCAGAAGCCAATACCTAGGGGCGGCCTCGGTCAACTCCCCTTACCGCCAACAGATGTTGTGTTGAGGTTATTGCGTGAGATCAAGGGTCAGTGAACAAAGGCTCGATGGCAATCTTCGCGTATGACAGACCTAACGGGAAACAGCCAAACCGCCCCTGATCTTCTCGATCAGCTGTTCCTTCATCACGGTTGATTCCTTCATTGAGTCCTGTCGGAAAGTATTCTTCCCAACCGAAGACTACAGTTCCGCCGTCTTCATCATCGCCAATGCCGGCCTCTACTACCTGTTCCAAGAAAAGTCATTCACACACGAACCCAACAGTCAACAGTACCGCGAATACCACCACCTGTGTAGAGATAACTTGGAGACAGCCTTGGCCAACTTGCCGCTCCTGCTGCCGTGCAACAAGGAGATAATCGAAGCACTTCTGCTCGGTGTAAGTACCGGTCAACCCGATGCTTTGATCCCTTTTCTTCCACCTTCACTATTCTGACCCGCGGAATAGGTCACCTACTCGATCGAGGTCTCGAAATTTTCGCTTGGGTGGCAGCTGAACAGTGCCGCAGCCAACATTTGCCAGACGCTCGGCTGGCATCGTCTCCGGGACGTGGACAATGAGACAGATAACCCAAACTTGGCCTTGTTCTGGTTCTGCTACATGATGGACAAGGGCCTCTCGCTGCGCTTTGGCCGCGCTTCTGTCATGCAAGACTGGGACATCTCCACGCCCCGCCGCTTTCACACCGGCGCCCGAACGGGGCCATGGACCGAGGCCATCAATCTGTGGATCAAGACCGGAAGTGCCCCGGGCGAGACGTACCAGCACCTCTACAGCCCCGCGGCTCTGGCTCTGCAGCCGGGCCAACGAATTGAGACTGCGCGCCTCCTGGTGGCAAAGATTAAACAGGTGTGGAGAGAGTTGGTGGACCTGTCGACGATGTTTGACCAGGGAAACAGCACCGTAGACGGAGATGTGTCGGACGACGGGGCCAAAGAGGGGCACATGTCGCTGGACATGCTCCTCAAGTCAGCAGAGGTGAGCCACCTGGCTTCTCTGACCCTCGTGTATCGCGCGATTCCAGGTGAACCGGGCCTTCCCAGCACATTCAACACGGAATGCATCGAAGCGGCCAGAGCGGCAATCAAATGTCACGACGAATGCATGAAACATGCCTCGGACAATCCGTTCGTACAGGCCGGGTATCTGCACTGGTAAGTTAGGCTGCGTTGTTCTTTTTCTTGGTCCCCCCTCCCTCCCCCCCCTCTTTTTTTTTGAGCGAAGACCGCCCACCAACAAATAACTCTTGATTGATCGATCATCCCGTGACTCCAGGACGATCCTCTACGCCCCTTTCACCCCTTTGATCGTCCTCTTCTGCCACATCATCGAGACGTCATCCGGGGCCGACGACCTCCACCGCCTCGAGCAATTCACCACGAGCCTGCAGCCCGTGCTGTCCATGTCGCCCGGCATCGAGAAACTACACCGCCTCTGCAAAGTGCTGTCCCAAATCGCCGCCCTGTACGTCGAGGCCAAGGCGCGTCAGCGCGAAACCCAGCACCAGAATCTGCGGGACGACCACCAGGACACGACCATGCTCGGCAACGACTTTGACCTGTACCTGTCCCAGCTGGGGTTCATTGCCCAGCCGCACAACACGGGTGGGGATTATGCGGTCGAAGGAAGCGATCCTGGTGGTATTGGGGGTGTTGGCCCAGGTATACCAGCGGCGAACAACCCGGCTGCGCTGGGAGATTGGTTCTCGGGGAATAGGTACGTCATGGGACTGGTGGAGGAGGACTTGACGCCCTTTGATCCAGAGGCTTGGGCGTTGTGAGAGACGTGAGATGAGAGTGTAGTCATGGTCGGGCAGGGAGAGCCCAATAGGAACAGATATACATCATCATGCTGGGCCAGACAGCGATGTTGTACAAGGTTCCAACCATCCAACACGACAAGTCCGTGTCCCCCAACCAGATGTTTGATTTTCATCTTGTGTCAAACACTTTCAAGGGTTTCGCGGCAGCCCAGAAGAGCGACAAGAGGACCAGAAAAACGGACACGGGGATCGAGGCATCCTGCAGATCCCACTGACCGGTCCGGGCGTGCTCGAACACCAGCCACCAGGCCCAGAAGCCGAACGGGGCGGCAAGCATGAGGACGTGATACATGATCAGGATGATGATGTACGGCTCCTCAACTGCCTCGATGCCCCATGCATAGTCGATCCCGGGTGTTTTGAGGAGCCATTCGCTATGTTTTTGTGGCATCGTGGGGAGGTAGATATTCGAGCCAGCACCAAGAGGGGGGAGGCAGTCGTGCAGCCACGACAAAAGACAGAATTGGAGGTTGACGCCGAGTGTAGCGCCCCTGCAGGGTCGAAGAAGAGCAAGCTCCCACACGTGCTTGTCAAGAGCGGGAGCCCGTGGATCTGGAGGCCGTGGGTCGTAGCTGTAGTCAATCGGACAAGAGGGCAGATCAGGCCCGGCGGACAAGACACGATCTGGCAGAATCTTTTTGAACTGTGACATGTTCGTATTGACAGTTAGACATGGCCTGATCTAGACATTGGAGATAATCCTGGGAAGTGATACCTACCTTCACAAATTCACAGTGGTGCAGCTGCCAAATCGAGAACCATAGCCGCATTCGACCCCTGAGAGCTCGATAAGAAGTGAAAAGTGTGTCCAAGAACTTCACGTCATCATTGTCCTTGGTGGTGTTAATATGCACTATGTCAAGAGTTCGCCGCTTGCCGTGGATTCCAAAGACAACGAACCGATCACGCGAGGGAATGTTGACGGAGTTCATGACGCTGGTCATACTCGTGGCGCTGCTCGTGGTGTGCCCGCTACCGATGGATGGTCTTGAGGGTGACTGAGAGGCCGAGGACGAGGATAACTGGCCAGGAGATGTCGGTATGCCGAAATTCGAACCCCCATTCGACGGTCTACCACTGCTAGAAGGGTCAGATGAGGATGGTGAAGTCTTGAGCGGGGGATTGTGGGCCGCTGGGATCACCCTCTTTGCGTGTTGCCCAATATTCTGCGTCGAGAAAGTTCTGGCGCATATAGACGAACCAAATATATCATGACGCTTCAGAGTGAGAAGATTGTTGAAATTGGCGATGTAAGCATCAGGTATGTCGCGCCATTGGCTCCTATTACAGTACTGCAGGCTGTCAGTTCAATGCCCCCCCCGTCGATTCTGTTCTCAAATGGTCTGCAATACACGGCACAAACAATGGTGGAGAATGTTTCTGACCATCCATGACATTGAGAACAGTCTTGAAGATCACCAAATCCCCCACACACCGGATATAGCAGATCCGACACAGCAAGTAGTGACTTACACATTTCCAGGAAATCCTCGTAAAGCCAAGAAGAGGAGGGCGGACACTCGGTTCCAATGGCCACCAATTCCATTCAGTCATGGTGGCTTCTTCCACTCTAATCTTGAGAGCGTTCGACACTGTTATCTTGTAACTTGCGGCCACCTTGATGGAGTCGGTTGGAATAGCCAAAAGTGAGTGAGCAATTGAGCGATACTGCTGGGGAAGGAGTAGCATATTGAGATCTATGAGGAGCTTTCGAAAACCAGCGCTGCTCCCGAGAAACTTCTTCATTTTGTCAATATGTGGAAAGTGATGGTACTCGTTGACGTTGGCGTCCTCAAACCTGTCGTCGTATTCTTCGTCGTCGTCGTCGTCGTCATCCTCTGAAAGGCTCGCAACCTGATCATCTTCATTATGCTCAACGTCATCCTTCAGTGCAAATGCCTTTTGTGTCTCCAACCATTGTTGCACCATTCCTGTATGATCTTGGATGTCCCCTAAGTGCTTCTCAGCCTCGAGTCGAATCTCCTCCTCAGGATCCAACCTATCGGCGATAGATCTGGCGATACGTTCGCGTAGAAAACGGCTCCGGAGAAGGAAGGTAGTCGATTTTTCGATGTTTATGTTAGCTAAACCGAGCTGAGCTTTATAGTACGGTTTGAGCAGCCTTCGGAAATTGTTGACGAATCGATATCGACCCATTTGTGGAAGCAGTTCAGAACATAAGGGGAAAATCTCGTTGTGGTGGGCAAAAAAAGCCAGGATCTGGTCCTCTGCAGCTAGTACTTGACGGGATTTGTGACTTTCCGCTCGAGAATGAATATCATCTTCGTCAGAGATTACCGATATAATGTCGTCAAAGTTAGTAGCCGTGATTTTGGAGAGTTCTCGAGATGCCTCCAATCGTTTGGTATCCATAGGATCGTTCGCAGGGGCTAAAGCATCTGCCACTGACAATGTATATTGTGTCTGTGGTGGCGCCTCGGCTGGTTGTTCGACACGCCCACTGGCATAGCCAGAATCCGAAAAAGCAGCAGTGCTCTTCATATTCTCATTCATTCTAACGGTATAAGGATTGCTCGTCGTTCCCCTCTCCATACCCGACTGCCTATCATTCAGTATCTGAAGTGAACATAATTCCAAGTCGCTCTGAAGACCTCTATCTTCACCTGCAGAATCGGCAGGGAAAGGGAATGACAAGCCGCCCGGAAGAGTGGTTTGACGACCTTCTGAAGTCGAAGACAGATTGGGAGATCCTACAGATGAAGGAACTCCTGAGTTATTTGTGGTCGTACATGGAGAATTGCTAAGCTGTTGTTGCAGATTGCGCAGGGCTTCTGCGGTCAGGTCAGGTGATCGTTCATAGTGTTCTGGCGATAGATTATATGGGCATTCATATTCGTCAAAAAGGCTTCGCGGTACGGGAAAGGGGGTTGGCGATCGCCCAAATAGGTCGGCAACTTGTTCAAGAGGATCGGGTTCGAATATACTTCTCTCAAGGACCACGGGCTCTCGTAACTGGTCTGTTTTGGGCCTTCTGGTGCTCTCTTGGTTTGTGAATAGAATATCATCGGGTCGATGTAAAGAAGGGGGTTTGGCCCCAGAACGATCAAGCGCTGCACGATTTCTCCGTTCGTCATATTCTCTGAGCATTCTCTTGGATTGATCGGCTCTAGAAAGAGACGCGATATTCCGATCGAGCCCTCGAGTATATAGTCGCTCTCTCTGATCTGGTCGATCAAAGCTGACGGAAGATGTCTCAGGTTGCTTCATGTCATCTTTGTATGATGCGTTTCTCGTGTCTGCTCGACGGTCATGAGGTTGTATTTCAACCACGTTATCATCGAATAGAGGGCTGTGGTGTCTGCTGGGCTGTGCCCACGAGGTTGGATTTTCCGACGGGTCAGCCTCGCCTGTCTCCTCGACGTATGGTGTCCCATGGCCATACAACGTAGCTCGCGTTGACTCGAGTTTCATTCCTTTACCTATAGCCTTGAAGAGCAAGTTGACCGAGTACATCCCAGTGGGAACCTCGACTTTTACGTTGTTTCCTCTCCTGAGATCGATTGTAGGGAAGAGACGCCCCCCTTCAATATAGATGAAGTTTACAACATTTATTGCGTAGCTGGTTCCGATGTCGCAAAGGACGTCCTTGCGCTCATACGTTCCATAGGGGTCTTCACACCTCTCACACTGCGATGCGTGCTTCTCAAAGAGCTGCATGGCTGAAAGTTGAATGTCACGTGGAGCTTGAAATGCTGACTCTGAGGCGTTGGCTTCGGTACGAGCAGCCCGGGGTACGGCCACGGCATCTTCATCAATGTTCTCACAAAGGGCGGTGCGGGACCGACGCGAAGATGTTTCTGGCATTGGGAGTGGGTGTGGATGGTCCTAGTGATCGATCTTTCCTCTCTCTGACAATATCAGTCAGTGAATCCAGACATTCAGACACTTCGACAAGTAAGGAGACTCAAGAGAGTCTCTTCCATTGAGACAAAAAGGAACCCCTAGCTATAGGGAAATTGCGGGGGAAATAGGCGCTGGAGCTGGAGAGAGTGGAAGGGAAGTAGCACAGTTGGTAAGCTTTACCATCTAAGCAGTTTCAGCCTGACTCGTCAACTCCGATGCTTCGAACAACTTGCTGTATACTCATACAGATGAAGGACAAACCTCCGTCAATGTGAATTAATGTGAATTCACATTTCGGCGCGTAGCTCCCGACTTCGAGGGTTCACACCGTGTAAATAAAGGTCAAAGCTGGTCCAGAGAGGGTGTGAGGCTGAAGTTCGAAATGCGCCTGATCAAGTACAGACCAGGGCGGTCTGCAGGTATTAGCGTGCCCAGTCCTGCACTTCGCCACTTTTTGCCATTGGATGGCGTTGTGATATCGTCACCATTTCCTGTAGAACTGAACCGATCTATATCACCTGCCCTTTTCCTTAGGGCGATGCAGGCAAAGGCTGAGGATGTGCCGCAGCCAGAGTTGTTCATGTTGCAGCAGCCAATCTGAATAATTGGTCAAAAGAGAATATCTGTCAATCTAGGCAGTACAGGAGATCAAGAAGTGCTCGTCATAAGGCCGAGAGTAACAGTTTGGCGGTCGATAGACGGTGTAAGAGGAAGAGGTTCGTCTAGAGTAGCACATTGGTCTCAAGCTAATTCCGAGCTAAGCCTAATGTGGCGACTATTCAATCACACTGGTTCAACTGCGCCCACTGCGAGTTAGCCTGCCAGCAACAATGGCGACGACATGAGATTACATAGTGGGAGACTCATGTACTTCCTTAATTCAAGCCGTCTGGCATTCGTTGTATGCGGAAAGAGATTGATAGGGGAAGAGTCACAAGTTGCATCCAGATAAAATAATCTATACTCCGTACATTGTAGAGTAGTAAAACACGGTCTGTATAGAAGTAGTGCCATTCCGTCCGTGGTGAAGGTATCTTTTGGGTATCTAAGAAGTCAGATAAGCATCTCGAGCCTCGCGTCTGACAGCGCGTTTTGGTATCCCTCAATTCGTAACTCCGTGTTCATGCGTTGAGCTTTCGTAAAAAAAAACAAAAAAAAAACAAGACTCTTCTTGCCAGTCAGACGTCTCAATCTCGACTGCGGTTCGGTGTCCACCTCCTCACATTGATATCTCGAATCTTGTACCTTGAGAACAACATGCCTATATCGACATCCTTCCGTTTCTCTGTATCTCTCAACGGGGGTGGAACGTCCACATAGCAGAGTACCAGCTGCTTGTGTACCTGTGCCTGAACTCGATTGATCCCGTGCAACCACCACCAATTCCTTTTGTTTGTTTTCCTTTCGTTTGCTTTCTGCTGTTCGGGCGTTCTGGAGCTCGTCCAGTACGGATTAGTGTACGAAGGGATGATGACAATTGCAAACTCGGCGTGTGAAAATGCGGGCCCACGGTTATACAAGAGATAGTCGGTCGAAAATTTGACACCACTCCGGACAACCCAGCCGAGGGAGCGGTAGTGATGGTATACTGCGTAGGAAATCATAAAGGGGTCATCCGGTTCCGCTGGAACGGAGAGTGATCGGGGAGGGTGATATGAGTGTCGTCGGAAGAGGGACAGGAGAGAAGAAGGGGGAAGGATAGTATTGCTGTCATCGCAGTAGATATCGAGGACTCCAAGGGCGTATGAGAGGAAAAATGCCTCTTCAAGTGAAATGTTTAGATGTTCTTGGGTTTGCTGTTGAACGGGCTTTTTATCTTCCGGTTTTGCGTCTTCGAGCGGAGACGTGCCGGGATTTTTGATGGGTGAAATCACAGGAGAGCTCAGGTCAAATTCTCGGGCTTCGATGGTGGGAGAGAATCGAACTGTCTTCGTCCTTTGTAATCTTTTCACTGGCCGACCTTCAGCTTGGCTAGTATCTGAACAAGTCGACGTGGGCGGCGGCGTCGGGATGCCATTGGCCTCGATTGCCTTCTTCCACTCCTCGAATCCGTTAATTGAGTTGTTTCCGTTCTCTTCTTCCACGTCAGGTGTCGCAGTCCCACTTGCTGATTCTAACACACTGCCAATGTCGGAGATGTTCTGAGCATTTGTTTTGAGGACATTTTCTGTCAAAGCGCTGTCAATGTGACCGTTGAAACTACCATTCGCCGGCAGCTGACTCAATTTTGATTTGTTGGATGCATGGCTTGTATTGGCATTGACGTCGCCGTTCTGCTCTGACGGTTGCGCGTGTTCCAAAACAGGTCTCACGTCCAGCTGACCAGTGGTATTGCCGTATTGCTGTGACTCTTCTGATAACTTTTGATCAATGTCTTCTTGCTCCTTCCGTGCCCGTTCTTGTTTCTGCAACCTCCTCTGTTCCCTCCGAGAGGCCGTGTTCTCTTCCGCTGTCCGACCTTTCTTCTGTATATTCTCTACCCAATTCGGCTCACTTCGGCTGAGACTGCCTCTTCCAAAAAAACCCATCTCCCAGAGCTTACGAATCGTGTCAGGGTCAGTGACATGGATGGAAGACGTTGCCGAAGAGAAGTAGCCATTGTATGTCGGACGGATGGGGGGCGAAAGGACCTGAACGAGGTACGAGAGGGCAATCGCAACTAATGACAACGGGTTGTGGGGGATCAAAACAGGGAGTGGATGGACTTCGATGGGTAGAAGATTGCGATGAATTTGATTGTAGTTCGGTCTCTTTGGGCGCCTGGGAGGCTTCGAGGAAGGTGATTTCGTTGACGAGGCCTCGACACTCACCAGAGGTGTGGAAGCTGAGGCCATGATGGATTCCTTGTTCAATGTCAGCCTCGTGGTCTCACAGTACAGATTCAAAGCTGGAAGTCAAAATTCAATCCCTCAGATACCGTTGTAGTCTAATACACGAAGCCCACATCGGAGAGAAGCTGAAATCAAAGTGCAACCTCCTCGGCAAGCGAGGTTGTCATCGTCGGGAAGATGGAGAATGTTACGTGGTGTGATCGAGGGATGGGACATACTCACTTTGTATCCGGTTTGCCGTGTGGTAAAAGGGAAAATGAGGAATCAAGGTGAGATGAAACTGTTCATCGCAGGTCGTCCTGGACGGAGAAGTGGAACAATCCCACCGCACCAGACGAGCATTGCAAGGCACTCAAAATGGAAGTGTTCCTGTCAAATCGTAATACAGTCATGGTGGTTGGGCTGGAAAAGGCCTCACTCATCAAGCTTGGGTGGTCAACTTACTGCAGTTTTCGGTGAGTTCGCGGGGAAATCTTTGGCGACGGAAATTTTTGCCTGCGAGTGCTGGCCTTGGTCTGAAATTTCTCCAACACAAAAAAAGGCACCCAACCACGGCTCTGCGATTTTGCATCAGAATACAGCAGTCTTTGACCCCAGGCACAGACGACACAATACTGCACACAAGATGCATCTAATGTACACCGAAGACCCGATCACGGGCAAGCGAATATACACGTTGAAAAAGGTCCTTGATGGCACTGTCACAAAGTCCGCCCATCCTGCAAGGTTTTCCCCAGACGACAAATACTCGAGGTAATGCAAGCTGTTTACTAAGTGAAAAGCTGTTCTAATGCGACCTTTAGGCATCGAGTGACTCTGAAGAAGCGATATGGACTCCTCTTGACACAGCAGAGTACGTTCCCTGCCAGTGCGATTTCGACTTCCTTGATCACAGCGGTTGACGTTGTTTGCAGATAACGAAAAGAAATGATGGGACAATATCCAGGCGTTTATGGAGTTCGGTGTCATTGCGCAAAGGCAGAAGTGGAAAAGGATGTTCAGAAATTATTTGCGGGTTTATCAATATGTCGCGGTGCAGTCAATACAATACACTCAGTGACGAGTTCGACTGCCCTACCGCTTTCTTGAGTTTACTGTTCGACCTGCCCCTATCCTCGGCCTTCCTGTGGAGTGACCTCTGTCCCCTGACAGGATGCCTGGCAGTATATCTTCATCCATCAAGTCTTTCTCTCTCCTGGTTTCTCTCTTCATCTTCGACATGGCTCTTACGTACTCCTTCTGGTCTTCTGCCAGAATCAGCTCATTCCCCCATCCACCTTTGCCTCCACCTCCGTGCCTGGGCCCTTGCCATTTCTGAGATGCGGTTCCGCTCGTTGGCTTGGGGACCGAAAAGACATTGCCTTTGTTGTTCCATTGCATGTTTTGCTTCAGATGCAACTTCACTTCCCCTTTATCATTGGTCGTACACGTTACCCTGGTTAGCGTGGGTTTGCCGCAACGCGGGCAGAATTGCTTAGACATGTCTTTGGTAGTGGAGAAACAGGCGTGGCACCGCAGGATGAATTGTTTGATTTGGGAGATTCGTTGGCAGGACTTGGTGGAGATGAGATTCAGGTTCATTTGAAGGAGGACATTTTGCATGGCAAAGTCGCCCGTCATGGTAGCCACCTGGAGATGTTTGGGCGAGGATTTTGACGCAATGCCGCTAGCGGACTCGTCTTGGGCTTGTCGACGTTTAATGTTGGAGGGGGTGATCCATCCTTCGTCCGAATCTGAGCCTTCGGTCTCTATTGGTTGTGAAGGTACTGTCTCCGGCGAGTGCTCTGAAAGTTGTGTAGTTGCGTCGGTGGGTTCGTCGCTGACCTCGAGGGTTTCGCCTGCTTCGTCATTTCTTTGATCAGCTGCCTCCTCAAGGCCCAGACTATCCACCTTCTCCTCAATAGAATCAAGCCCTGTGTCTAGTCCATCTCGCACGTCCTCTGCGACATTTTCTGTACCCGTAGTCTGATCTTGACCGTCCTCTTCCTTTACCGCATTTTGCGTAGGTGGTGCGCCATTCAGCCTCTTTTGCCCCGGGGTCGTCCTCAGCCTCCAGTTGCCTCCATTTCTCTCACACTCAATCTCGTACGCCAATGCCAAAACCTCGTAATCGGTATGACTTAGCACGGC